GGATAATCCCATCAGGTGCCTCGGAAGTGACCCTTATGACGACAACGGGATCATGGGGCGCTTCAAATGCATGCTTTGGTACGAGAAAGTCCTTGAGCACTGGACACCCTCATGGCCTTCAGCTCTCACAACGGCAAGATCAGATTCGGCCGCTCGCAAAAGACCGCCAGTGGAGCAGAAAAACCTGCAGCCGAACCGTGCTATACGTTGTGTGTATTATAAAGGAAACAGGAACTTCCGTGAGTTCCGATAGAACTTCCTTTTTTCCTATCTTCGATAAAATTAAAATAGTAGAAAAAAAGAGAGATCGAGTGAAGGGACCACTCTCCTTTCGGTGGGAGCTGAAAAGAGAGCATGATTTGTATGGTCAACGCAGATCATGTGACCGCGATCTCATCGATCTTTTTCAGGCAACGCCCCTTGGCGCGCAAAGGGATGTGAGCGGGCTCCAGTCGACGTTGCTCGCGCGCCCTTACCAGTGCCCCCTGCTCATTTCCCCATTATCATTATTTCCGGCCTGCCTTCCTTTCCTTATTGATATTCTGTTAGGCCACGTTCCTCCTTCTTTTGTTTAGTCTGTTCCGTTTTGGCCTTGTGCCCTCCCATTGTTTCTAACCGTGTTCGGGCCACGTGCCATTAATAAGTCCTCCTTCGATTACGGTTACCTTTAGCCGCGGGCCACTCTTACGAAAGTTGTTGTTTCTGGCGCACGCGCCCCCGAATCTCATGCTACTGTTTTGGCCGCGTGCCACTTTTTTGCCGTTGCTGTTCCGGGCCGCACGCCCCTATCTAAAGTACTGTCTCTTAGCGCGCGCACCTTAGTGACTCTCTTTTGGCTACGGTTCTCTTGAGCCTCGTGCTCCTCAGGTTTTGATTGCTTTCGTCTCGTTCTTGTGGCCGTGTCCCTCATCAGCCGTTACTTTGATAGACGATTTCAGGTCGTGTGCCCACTTGTTATTGATTACCTCTGTTCGTATTTCCTCTTTTAGTTGGTCGTTCTGCATAAAGTTCGTGATTGAAAAGAAAACCTGGGTGAAAGAAGCCAAGGCTATCGCATTAGACAAACTCGTGTCGCACAGAGGATTCAAAGTTTGTATCCTCGTTTTTCCATTTCTAAATACAATCTTAACGCTCATTTATTCAAAGTTGAGAGAAAAAGGAAGAAAAACACATGTGTTCTAAATGTCCCACAAGGGATTCGGAGAAAATGGCTCTTCGTAAACGTATCAAGGACCATTCGTTCCCTTAGCGAATGCATTTTGCTGGCAGCGATGGAAACCCATCTTTCTTATCAGCTGAGGACATTACAAGTATTCACTGTTTATTTGTACTTGGAGTAGGGATGATTGCGAAGTTCTTTGAGAATACCCCTGCAATTGGTATGCAACAGACACTCGATAAAAATAGCTTCTTTTATACTATGATGTGATAGCTTCCTCCATATGAGTCAAGAGGTATTTATAGACCTTTAAAGTTTACATAAAATGATGTCTTCAACCTTAATCTTTACCTTCCGTTAAGGCACAGAGGAGTGAAAGAGGGCTTGTTAAACCCATCCCCTCACTTCATCACTTCATTCTACAGGCATTCTACTTCGAATTTTATATATTGTAGTAAATCTTATGCAATGTATTTCTCTGTGAACCGTGAAGGGACCCCGCTCTGAGCAAGAATGAGAATCAGATTGATACATACTTTACCTCGAAGTTCTCTCTGAATACCGGACATTATGCAGAGACAGCCCGCGGTTGATGCGTATACGAAGAACTTCGTCCATTGAGATCCCATTAAAAGGTATCTTGCACGGAGGCATGGCAATGATTTTCTGAAACGCGAGCAACATTCGGATGGATAAGCGGGAAAAGGTTAACGTCTACGCCGTTGGTCAAATCCTTTTTGGGATGCGGCACGCATTCTACTTCCATTCAGAATCGTCAGTGGCTTACTGAATGCGATGTGGCCTATACAATGACTTGCCAGCCGACGTAAATGTCAGTGTTCCCATTCTCCAGGCGTAATTGGTACCAGTGCACATCCCCAGCGGGTGGAAAGCTCGGTTGGCCGGGGCGGGATCTACCGTTGTCGCGCGTTATGAGGGTGCTTGCCACTACGCCACCTCCGCCTCTACTCATGTCGGTTGGATAGGTATGCAAGCAAGCTTCAATCTGGTGAAGCCAGGATTGCCTTCATGTAAGTGCTGCTCAAAGAAAGGGAAGGAACCCCTCTGCCTTGTCTCGGACATCACTAAAGAGAACTTTTGGCTTCGTTTTTCCACGTTATTATGAAAGCTTTGTGTAGACATGTTCAGTACCCTAATATTCAACAAAAGTCTGATTGCGCGGGGCATCTCAAATGTTATCGTTCTGGTGCTATCCGAACTACGTCCTGTGAGCGTTTTATTTCATTTTTGATGCTTTAGCTCCTACTCCTCTCATCCGCTCACTTTGAAAAGTGGAAAAGGTCAAAGTAGTTCAAAATCAATGTCAACAGAAGAAAAATAGGAACTTCGCCCTCTGCGTGTATCATTAAAGTTTTTGTCAGTGAGGGCGATAAGGCGCTCATAATACCAGTTAAGAGTATCCCCAAAAAGTTCCTCGCGAAACAGTGTATCGTGAGGAGGTCGCGAGGGGGTGAACTACCAAGCCGAGGGCAGAAGAAGGCCCACAGCAAAAAATCAAGTCTCTAGCAGCAGGCCAATTTCCATGCTTGAGTCTCCCGCGGGTGAAATCCAGAAAACTGTTGCTCTGTTATAACCCAGACGGAACACCCAGACGGACGTCGTGTGGACAACAACTTTGCTCAGGTGCACAACCTGCTTCACATTCTCGACCCTGTCGGTCATGAATGTGAAACGCCGGAGGCTTCACTCGTGATCGACTGATTCTGAAATAATGAGGGGTGAGATCCTCAGTAGTAAAAAGAAGTGAAGACACCCACTCCGAAAACTGATCTCACCCATCTTCAGAATCCGTGGAGTCGGAGCTCCACTGGAGTGCGTCGTGAGCGAAGTCTCCTTCTTTTTGAGCCTACTGTGCGTCCTAAAGCTCTGCAGGTGCCACCAGAAGAGAGACTGCAGCGAGAACAGCTAGTAAGTACTTACCACATTCTTTTCCAAGGTGCAACGGAAAAGTTTCCGCAGATCTTTTCCTGCACATAGCACAATTTCACAGCCGCGAAATTCTTGGTGAAGTTGCTCTGTAAAAAAAAACGCAAAAGCTAAACACGATTAATTTTGTTTCTACAGAACGAGCCCTCAGAAAGGGATCCTGTGTGTTCCCCAAAAAGACCGTTTTTGGTGACTTCAAAAGAAGGCGCTTCGAATTTCTCACCTTCTGACGCAGTGTAGTCTAAAATTTTTACAGATCCTCCGAATAGTCGAACCCCTAGGTAGAAGGCGATAACCTCCCATCGATTTTCCGACAAGACGAAAGCGGAGACATTCTGAAACATTGTGAATCTGGTTGCAATCACTGTAAGAGATGATAAATTGTCGAAAAATGAAAAAAAACCTTGATGAAGAGGCAGGAAAGGTAGTTGGCAATGGCTTGCGCTGCGTCATACAGTTGTCCCGAATCAATGGTGTTGTCATAATGCTCTGCATCAACCTGAAACCGTCATTTTAGGGTGAAAAGCCCACACAAAAAACAGTTCTAGAAGTTACAAAGGCAATCCGTCCGGATTTGGAATGATTCTGAATGGTGGCAACCAAGTCGACGCCGTCGTTGAACATCGGCGCTGAGGGGTGACAGCAATCCGCCTGCATTCCTGAAGGACACTTATCTGAAGGAGCATATGCACTATGGTACATTCTGTTTACATCACATGAACTCTTTGTCTCCAATAGGCACCAATTGCTGCTCTTATCAAGCAAAATGCATTATTTCATGATAATCACTCTATGTTTTTTCTAGCTTATCTCGCTGCATACATGACAGACTATTCAAGATAGCATTAGTAGACTCCAAACCATGATGTAGAAGGTGCTGGTCTAATACAAGTCTGTAGTTCAGTGTTTAATTTCCATTCCACGGAAACTAAAAGGGCGTTCTGCAACGGCTGAATTGTCGTGCAGACTCTCATCCCTACACACGTCTCTGACTCTCCCATTTGCACCCTACAGCCATCGCCACGCTCGCCGACAAACTGTTGAACGGCTCTTGGTGTTGTGGGTGGGGAAGATGGAGAGGGGTGGCGGAATGATAGGGACCTTGGCCAAAGCCTATTGTGAAGAGCTCCGGTGTAAGTTGACCTGACTTCACTCTTTGTTCGTTCGCAAGAGTCCAAAAAGGGTTTCAGTAGTTTGTGAAACCCTCTGGAGGTGCTCTCCGCCACGACTCCTCACTGACGAGCTATAGACGTCGTGAGGCGTCGTGGCATCTCTTACCACAAAACATTACTACTAACGTAATAGCGTCCGCTTTGGACCAGGGTCGGGGACGACATGGCGCAGTTTGGCCACGGGGGGCAT